AGACACAGACACAGACACACACACACACACACACACACACACACACATATATACTGCATTTTAAACTATCAAAATGTTGACGTAATTGAACTTACAAAACAAAACAGATGCAGAAATCTGTAAATTATATATTTTATTTTATTATTTATTTCTTTTATTTTATTTCTTGCAACTGAATTTACAGCTTAAAAATAAAATAACATATGTAATATTTATGCTTGTAATCAGATTTCACAAACCTTGCTCTGTACAAACCTTTTGCATTATACATCTAATTTGTTGACATTTGTGGGGAAACCGTCTATGATGATGAAACACTTTTCTGAAATCTCTCAGTACATTTGTAGACACACAGATTGCAATAGGATATGACAATATATTATACTAATCTGTCATTCGTGAGTGACCAAGTAATTTTTAGTTTTTTACAAGCTGGTTGAGTGAATGTTTTAGTGACTCACTTATTATCACCTACTTTCATAAAAGGCGAACCTGAATTAATCTTTATAGTGAACAAAAAATAATCACTGAGATGATTTAAAATCACAACTATTATGCAAGAATGAAATGCAATCATGCAAAAAAAAAAAAAAAAAAAACTGCAATTCCCCAAATGGCCAATGATGTTTGGTTTATGATCATCAGCCATCCAGAACACTAAAATGCTAATTAATGAAAAAAAAAAAAATAAATAAATAATAATAATTTGTCAAACAACTGAGATCCAGAGATGTGATTCATTCTGTGTCCTTGGATTAGTCTTATTCAAAAACGTGTAAGCAACAAACCAGACTGAATGCTCTTGGGATGAATGCATGTCCAGAGACACATTCACAGCAATTGCTCTTCATTTCAAAAGCACCTCAAGCAAAGCACCAATCTCTTAAACGTATTATTATTGACAGTATTTCTGTGCAGTTAGATAAAGACACAACAATATGAGAAGCAAAGAAAAGAATGAGATCCTGTAACATCAATGTCTGCCGATCAGACAAATGTGAATAATTTAAGATCTGCTTCCTGTGCCGTTCTATATACATCTGCTGATTCTCTGCTGATCATCTGCTCACAGAGGATTCATGCAGTAAACAACATGAATAGAGGCAAATTAGTCTAAATTAATTTCAGAAATTAACTTTTCAATCAAGGGGCACTATTTGATTTCCAGGGGTATTTTTATTTTATTTTTTTTACCTTTGTAAGGGCAATTTTCATAATTGCCTTATTAATTGTATCTATGTTGTCTTTTACATCAAATGCTTACATTTGACCAATTACTTAAATCAATCAGAATCGTACTGTTACCAATAACAACAAACTATTTCAAATTGTATTTCAATTCTACAAAATAGAACCTTATTACAGGCTAGGGCTGCAATTGTGACACAAATAATTATTGTTAATTATTGCTTATATTACTTGACTGGCCAGCGGAGCAAACCAGTGGAAATCAGTTTGCTAAATAACGTAAACTTGACTGACTGCTTCACTTCCACTTTAAACTCGCATTACAATCACTGAAGCTTCTATGAAGCCAAATTAATCTCTCTAATTGGCAGCCCTGCTTACATCATATCTGCAGTTTGTTGTTTATGGTGAGAGATTTCAGCCAATGAGCGTGTGCACACGACAAAACTCCAGTGTTTTCAGCACTGACTAATCTAAACACCTCTGATTGGCCATTGCACAACAGATACATGTGTGATTGGTTGTAATTATCAGCGCTACAAAAATAAAAAATAAACAACACCCAAAAGGAAATCTGATGCAACGTACCAAAGACTATAGATATGCAAAGACAGTTCACTCCTATGACTGGGAGAAACTGCAACACGCAATATGGCGG